CTTGATTTTCATTTTTATCTTAAAAGACTTTCACTCAATAAACTATTGTTTTTACTAAATCAATTTAAAGCTCAAATCAATACGAAGGATTGAGGATTTCATTTCTCATGCATTTCAAGGTATGAATAATATTTTAGATGTGGGTGAATAAGCAAATGGCATTCACCTTGAATTCAAAACATGATTAAAGAGCGTTCTACGAGGGTGTGAGTAATGAAGGACAACATTCATAACAATCGACACCCACATCCACCCTCAATTAATTTTATTTGTGATGCTAATTTTGATAAAGCAAATACAAATCAGTTATTAACTCTATTGAATAGTATTCATTCAAATATTGGTTTACCAGAAACAAGCCATAAACTATGGGAACGAGTTGGAATTGATTTTTTATTCGAAAGTGACATATATTGTACTATTTGTAATCGACAACTATTGAAGTTTGCCAGTAAGTGTGAATAGTTTGTCGATATTTTTTCACATGAAATTTTGTTAAAAAGATGTTTAATTGCTTCTATCATTTTCAGATTTCAGATTTTATTTGTATATATATGACAAAAAAATCATCTAAAAACAAGTTGCATATAACAGTACAAATCAAGTCGATGAATCATGTATTACTAACAACAACACGAGAATGGGTGTGAGTGCAGGTCTTTGGCCTCTTATCTTGCGTTCACTCACACCCTGATTTTCATCTTTAAAAAACATGATTCCTTAGGCGTCTCGTAATTTTTTGTGCAAGCGAAAACTTCAGTAGGTTCCTTCGGATCAGCAAGCTTTACAAACGACGCTTCTCGATATATTCCCAGATATTAGCGATTTGTTTACTATAAAATGGGGTAGAAAATGCTACTATATATATTGCAAAGAACCATGCTTTGCTACCATTATTCTAGATGGACATCAAAAAGCAACACGAAGAGTTTGAGAAATAAAAACCATATTCATTCTTAGCATCGATACATCTATTCGTGATGTGAAAGTAGGATGCCCTATTATATCTTGGTATAAGAGTTAAAGATGTCATGAACATTCATCAACAACTACTGATGATAACAATTTCGATTTTATCTTCGATGTAAAACATTAAATTCGTTACAATACAAACGCATATTGCATCGTAGCAGCAGCTTATAATTACGGATTTGTCTGCAATATTTATCAATTATTTGGATGCGAATCTGTTACACAAGTATATAACTTTGTCTACAAGACAAAAGTTAGAAGGACTCATAGTTTTTTGTGATAAACTGCACTATCGAAATCATACAGATCTTTATTGAACTTTACTAAAAGAAAAAAGATCAACTGTCAGTCGTGGAAGAACAAATGAAAAAATCTTGAATTTGTTTGATGTTTATAAAGTAGCTTTATTTGATCGTGTACTATGCTACTAACTGATCTCTGTTCATTCTCATCATTTTGTTGTTGTTCGTTTCTTCTTTACTTGTTCATTTCTGTGTGTTGCCTTACTTTTTCTCTTATTTTTCTGTAATTTAATTCTGTGGCGTTATTTTTATTTTATAGCTAAAATTAACATATATATAGTTTTTTTTGTAACATTTGCCTCAGAGACGATATTTCGTTCAAGTCACTGAACGTGAGGGTTACTAAGCCACACACTTCATATTATTTTAAATAAAGCAATTAAAATTAAAATAAATCATGTAGATCTTAGGTGTCGTCAAAATACTAATCCATATATATCTCGTTAGAGATTTCAACGAATCTACTTTTTTTTAAATTTATATCTGTCTTCTTTGCGAGTTATTCAATAGTAATAAATAGGACAAGAACTACATTATTTTAAGTTAATATTATAAAAATCTAGTACAATACAGTATTCTCTATATTTTGCTTCGTCGTAAATTGTGTAATTTTAATTGTCTTTAAAAAAAGATATTTGTCAACACTCTTATAGATTTTATCTTGTTTTGTTTTCGAAAAGTGCATATACTGCTTGTTTGCAGTTATTAATACCTTTTGATAAAAAAAAACTGCGAAATGTTGTAATCTTGTTATTGACATACAACTGTTGATTTTCAAAACTGATATGTTCAATAAGTTTTCTTCTCGTGATCTTGTTGTTTGGTGTTGATCGGATTCTCGCTATAAAAAGTAGTTTTCTTGAAATAGTAAAGAATAGTACTGTTGATTGATGTTGATCACTGCAATGATGACATTTGATATCGCATTCAGTATATTCATCTTCTTTTTTGTCGTTATCGCATCTTCGACGTACATCAAATTTGCTTTTACATTCTTTGTTTAAATGTCCAGGTGTATTGCATTTTGAACATATGAATATTCGCGGAGGTGCAAAAAATTCAGCTACTTCGATTATTTGTTCATTAATGCCTATAATGCCGCTGGATGTGGGTGTAGGTGTTAGTGTGAGTGTGGGGTATGGGTGGGTGGGTGTCGGTGTGGATTTGGGTGCTACTCTTTTCGTTATCCACACCTCTCGCCCATAATCATGCATATAATATGTTTCATTTTAGTGCTGAATTATACGATCTATCGAATAGAACATAGAGAAAAATGAAAGCACGAAACATGAACGAACATAGCATCAATCTCCTATTTTAACAGATGGTAAGGTTTTGATCGCCGGTGAATCTTCTAATGAAATGGAAATAAATATTTTTGAACTATATGATCCAATGTCAGAGTCATGAGCAATCACTAGTAGTATGCGTTATGTATACATCAACTTTGTTAAAAAATGGAAAAGTATTAGTTACTGGCCAAAATGAAACTATCAATTATCTATATATTGCCGAACTTTATTAGTCAAAAAATATTTATTTTGCTTCTCATCATTACGACTTTTCCTATCATTATGAGGATGTGAGTGATTTTGATTGTGTAATATAATAAGAACAATAGGATCACATATTTTTCAGAAATTTTATTTTATACAAGAACAGTATGAAGACAAAACTGTTTGAGGGTGTATGTGGATCAATAGGGTGATTGTACTAACAAGAGGATAACTACACCTTTACCAACATCTTCAAGATAAATGACTTTCAAATCATTTTTAAAAATGATATGATTACTTCATTTCGATTGTCTTTTATTGAAGTGAAACAAAACAGAAAACTGCTTAAATACAGAAGAGAAATGCGGAAACAAAGCGAACATACATATATTGCAATGAAAGCATGAATATATATCAAGTGTTTTTACCATTTTTTTTCCATCCAGTAATTTAAAATTCCAATCAAAAGATCAATCAAATAATATTTTGTTTATCTCAACGTTTGAGAAATTTCTGAACACGCTTACTACCTGTATCACAAACATACATATTCATTTCTGAATCGAATGCCATACCACGTGGACCATCTAACTGTGTTGGACTATTACCAGGGGTACCATTTCCAACAACAGTCACACTTACATTACTATCTTTGCAAAACATTTGAACTCGATGATTCTTCTGCTCAACAACATACATATTCAGATTGTCATCAATTCTAACATCCGCCGGTTCGAAAAGGCAAGTAGAGTTAGAACACGATATACCAGGCAGACCAGCTACAAACGTACCTGAGGTAGCACCAAGAGGCCAGCGTATTACTGAGTGTCCATTATGATTTACGATAAGCAAACCATAGTGTATCGATGATAAATACCGAATACTCCATGGTCCATTCAATGTTTCATTTGTATTGTCAGGTATTCCTGTTCCTGTTCCAGCTACAACAATTCCATCGGTGCCTGAAGTTGAATTCGTCAAAAAACGTACTACTCGATGACAGCTACGATCAGCAATATACATAAATGTATCTGTTGGATCAAAAGCAAAACCTCGAGGATAATATAATTGGTTTAAAGAACATCCACCTGATCCAGTTAAACCTGCAATAGTTATTGCATGTGTTGTTCCATTCATGAATTTTTGTACGCGATGATTGTTAGTATCGAGCACATATATACTTCCATGTCGATCAACATAAACATCTTCGGAATAGTTTAGTTTAACACTATTAGATCCTATTGATTCATGAACTCCAGCGACAACTGTTGCATATTTGGCATTTTTTGATAACTTCCAAACATAGTGTCTGTCTTTATCAACACCATACAAAGTGTCATCGGAATCAATGAACAGACGTGTGCATGATAATCTTGTTAATGCGGAGAGCAGAGCGATGCCAGTTGTACTCCATGGTAAATTGCTAGATAAACCTAGCATTGAAATAAATCAAAATAATATGTTATTCGCTACCTGATGGTGAAACGTCGGTTTCAGAATATGATTGGACTCAAAGCTAGATACAACATTGATACATATATGTGATTATTTATTCGATATAGCTATTCTTTAAATCTGTATTCTCTCAAAATCAATACAATATAGTCCAAGCACAAGTCTGAAGCTGCTTTTAAAAAGTTGTTGAGTTGTATGCAGAATTCTAGTTATTTTTTGATAAACGATTCAAAAGAAACATTTTGAAGGCAACGCATTGCGACTGCCCATACTTTGCTTCTACTCAGATGGATTTGCTGTTGTACGTGTCGAAGTTATACTCGATATCATAGTTTTACTGTTGTTATCGCTTGAGGGTGTGGGTGTGGGTACGGGGATGAGGATGAGGGTGAGGGTGAGGGTGGAGGTGTGTGCATACTGTATCTGTGATACCCACGCCTACACCCTCACCTACACCCACAATCATACTCCACCCATCGTAAGTAATAAAGTTATTTACGAAAGAGTATACATCTCGACTTGCTTGGTGTAGACATATGCCACAATGAGCATTTAGTTTTCATCAAATCAAATAGAGCAAAAATAACAAAAACTAATAAACAACATATTCTCATACAAAAAGACAGTATTATCAGAAACACCATCATTCCTTAATCTATGATCTTTACTATTATTACAATTAGGGGAATTACTTTATCTTTATTTTATCAAATAAATATAAATAGAACCGTTATATTTGGAAAAAAAAAGAATAAAAAAGATGTCTTTCTATAGTAGATAATGAGAAAAATCCTTAGCATAGCAATAGGATATATTAATCGATATTCTGTCTTATCACTACCCTCACATCTTCATGTGATATTATAAAAAAATAAAGATGATACTTGAAAAAATATATGAAAAAAGCTTTTCCAGATATTTGATTCCTATCTATGGAATCTGACTTTCTTTGTAAATTACATTGAAAAAACTGGATTTTCTAGAAAATAAACTTCTTTATTTTATGAAGATAAAGGGTTTTTATAATTATTCTTTCTTATAAAAAATAATGGAATATCTGAAATTTCCATTAGACTAGAAAAGTAAGAATCAACTAACAATATATGATCAATGTTTTTTCATTAAATAGCTCGTTATAAATTATTGTAAGTAATTGATCAACTTCTTTTTATCTCTCTTTGAAGACAGACATACCTGCTTCTTCTGTTGTTGTTGTTATTGTTGTTGTTGACTCTGGTTCTGCTGTTGTTGTTGATGATTTTGTGGTTGCTAACATTAATATTGTCGACCTTTCTCCTGTTGACATCATTACTGTTGTTAAATTTGTTTCAACAACATTTCCCTTTTTCGTCAGAATAATAGCTGTTGGAATAGTAATGATTGCTATTATCACAATAGTAAATATGATCCACGTCAATTTACTTCGAATGCACACACATCTAAAATAATTTTGTTTTTAATTTATTCAAGCTCAGAATACACGTACGGTCTTGTCGATTGTATAGGTTGTGCTTCACCTATATCACTGTTAACTGACTCAGGCTACAAAATAAAGAAGAAAAAACCAAGTTAGTTTTTATTTTTCCTATAATAAATTATATCACAAACATGTATTCTGTTTTGTTTCTCCATTTGTAAACCTTTGTCAAAGTTTTGCAATGTTACGAAATTAAATCTAAAAGAATTCGGAAAAAGATGATATAAGAAAATGTTCATCGTATAGAATTTCTCTCTTATAAAATACAATTACTTTAATATTATATAAAAACTATCTTAAACAATAATGACTATATGATACCTTTAAAACAAAAGATTTTTCTATTAAAAAAAAGAAAATGCCCGCAATTCATATGATAGGGTGTGGGTGTGAGCTTGTGAGTGAATCTGTTATATCCTCGACGGGCGCATTATGTTGATGTGGGCGAGAATGAAGCCATTGTCCATGGTAGTCCCTAGCAAGCCCTAGTAGTTCCTAGTAGGCCATGAAAATCTTTTCTAAAAACTTATAGTAATTAGGGTGGGTATAGGTATTCTATTCATTCTAAGCCCACACCCACACCCTCACTCTGGAAGTGAATACGGTACTAGAGTAAAGTTGCAGAGGAAGATTTGGGGAAGTATATAACCACAGTTGTTAATCGCTTGTGTGCGCGGGAAGACATGTTGTGGTGATAGATACAAAACTTTCAAACGCATTCCTACCTAGACTTTTTATTGTTTTCCAATATGTGAAGCTGTGAATGTCTCACAGTAGCATATCAATATTTTAGACTTAAAGGCAATGTAATATCTAGAGAATCACATGAAGAAGGTATAAGAGTTTTTGATATCAAACACTTACCTGAGCCGGTTTGGAATCACAATAAAGAAAAACAAAGTTGGAGACGTATAAATACGAGAAAAATGCTTGTCTGTTTAATGACTATTGATCATAAACTTAATAAATGAAGTCTTAATTACAAAGTTTAAGAGAAAATAAAAAAAACATGCTATTTATTATTTCGGATCTATCATTGACATAATAAATCAAAATATTTCTAATAACGCTAGAAAAAATAAAATCATAGTTTTCCCTTAGATTCATCAATCATAAAGGATTAGAATAAATAGAGAATATGCATGTAGGTGTTTAACATATAGAAAAAAAGTACAAGAATAATTTAGATATAATTATAAATCATATTTTTTGAACTTTTATGTCGTTCAACAAGAACAAAATGTTTTTAAATTGAAACAATATGTTATCATTTACTGGAATAAAAGTACATGTATTGATATGAGAACATTTATTGACCCTAGTTCTGACAATTATTGGAATTGATATTCATCATCTCAGTACTTCTATGATTTTTGAGCTGATTCATGTTTTTATATATTCTTTTTCGTCAAGTTCCAAGATACTATTTCATTTGTATTTGAGTATCTCATTTTTTGAGAGAAATTTTGAATCCATCTTTCAATATGCTTTTAAAAAACTCTTGATTTCGATTGAATTAATATTTTTGTTTTTACCATAATATCTTTGAAATTGATTGATATTATTTGAATAAGAAATATTTTTATGTATTTCTCATTCATCTTATTTTATATTATTAGAGAAGAAAGACTAAAGATTTTTTCATTACAACTGATTAATTTATGATGAAAATATTTCTAGAATATTTTAAACGTCAGACATTTATTTGATTTGATTTCTAAATTCTTTGGTTTTATGATATGATTTGCTAATCATAATTGTTTATAATAAATTCAGAAATCAATAATTAACCTTTACTTGATTTTGTCCATTAAATAAATATAAAAATTCTGCATTCTAACTAATGGGTGTGGATATTGATATGGTTTTCATGTATACCAGATATTCAAACCTACGCCTACACCCTCACATTATCTATTTCTTAAAGACTTGACAATACCAATGAAAGAGTTTTTAGTCAGGCCGATTTTCTTCTATATTTATATGAAGTGATTCAAAAATGGAAGCCAATCTTAAAGAAATAAAAAAAACAAAACATGATTGTGATGATTAATTTAATGAGCGTGTTATTATAATATCTCTTCAAAGGAAGTTTTCTTTCATCGATCATTTATATATTATTTATCTACGCATATAGAA